CTAATTATCCTCTCTGGAGTCTGTGTCTTCCCTGTTGGGTTGCAGAACCGAACCAGGCAGTTATAGAGGTGCAGATGACAGACTCAATAATTCCTCTGTAGAATTGGATCAGCACTGCATTTAATGACCATTTGAAGTTACAACGGCACTGAAAAGGTGACTTAGGACCGTTTTTCACCCTTACGACCATCGCAGCCTCCCCATCATCACGTGATCAACATTCAGATGCTTGGCCACAGGTTCATATTTATGACCGTTGCAGTGTCTTGGGAGTCATGTGATCCAACTTCACTTAAACACCATGTCCCTCATTTAACACCTGCAGAGATTCGTGTAACGGCTGTGTTGCAACAGATGGGGCAAAACTCACATTAACAACTGTCTCACTTAGCAACCGAAATTGGGGGCCCAATGCAGGGACACCCCAAACTTAACAGCTGTAATAAGAAAGAGGGGAAAAGTTATGTACAGTGGACGTGGCAGGGCCTGGAGACAGCAGAAGAGAAGATCACAAAATGGAGGAGATCTTAAAATAGAAAGAACCTGCCAATAGAAATAGAACAACGGAGGCAAAAGAATGCGAAGATGGTACCAATAATAATGGATGAGTCCAATTGTGGTTGTGAGGACTGCCAGTCCTTTCCACTTTGAAAACACAAGCACAAAACTAACCCAAAAGGAAGATCATTCTGACTCTCTGTCTCTCCAGATGATGCAACTATTCAGTGTCAGAACGAGGTCCAACCAGGCAAATGGAGATTATTTTGGGGGGAAAAAAAGATTTATTTATTTTTTGGTGTCTGTTTACATGAAGAAGAAAAAAATCAGATCTAGAAAAAATGACCGTGGGAATTCATTTCAGTCCAGCTGCAAAGCCAGCATGTCAAATTCTTCAAAGCTGACTCATCTTCAAAGTGTGGATTCCATCGGATTTCCATCTTCAAAGTTGACCTTTTCTTCCTTTCCTTTTTCCCTTTCCCGTTATTTTCCCACCTCTTGTACTTGGCACAGGGGTTTTTCCTTGATGTTGTTATATCAGCTTTTGGCGTGTCTGTTATTTGGAAGCAAAATGTTCTCAGCAGCGCCAACAAACGTGGTCGCATTGTACAGGTAAGTACAAACCTTGACTCACGGCCACAGTTGGCTGAGCGAAAAAGATCTGCTAAGTGAGTTTTGCCCCATTTGTTAAAGGAATCACTGCAATGCAGAGGTGGTAGTCAGACGGTTCTGACCGGTTCTGGAGAACCGGTAGCAGAAATTTTGAGTAGTTCGGAGGACCAGCAAATCCCACCTCTGACTGGCCCCGCCAACCCCATCTCTTCTCTGCCTCCTATTGAGTCCCAGCTGATTGGCTGGGTCTTCTTTGGTTGCCCTGCATAGGAGAGCGGAGCTGGAAAGCAGGATAGTGGGGTGGGGTGGGGAGGGGAGGGGGATTTTGCAGTAACCTTCCCCCAAGCATGGGGAGGGAATGAGGAGTCAGTGTGCAAGAGAGTTGAGGGCTGTTTGGAAACTGAAACAGTATTTGCTGTGTGAGAAAGAAGGAAACAGCAAGGAGCCTGGGTGTGGCTTAACTCAACTGTTCTGTACTAAAGCTGCTTTGCGCTGCTGTGAAACTGAACCTCCTCTCCTCTGCTTGTGTTTTGCATTTGGAGCAGATTTCTTTTCAGGTGGGGAGGGGGAGTAGAACTCCTCAGCATCAGAGCATGTTAATAATCATAATAATATAGGAAATACGAATGCTCTGATGGTCATTTGGAAAAATCCTTTCTTAGTGAGCACCTAGAAGCCAAGAGGAACATATGGGCCAAATGTCAAGTTTGTAGGCTTTACAGTTCTGGAGATTTTGTGATGATGCGTGAGTGGTCTTTGGCTTTTATATAGAGGAGGAGGAGGAGGAGGAGGAGGAGGAGGAGGAGGAGGAGGAGGA